CCACCGGCCTCTGAACGACAATAAGCTGCGTCATGTCGACTGGGTCTTTCGCGCAGGACAAAGTAGATGGCTGTGTCGGTTTCAAACCCCAGGAGGATGGTTGCGGGTTCTAGGTATTGGTCGGGAGGGAGGGAGAGTTGGAGATGGTTTTTTTAATTACGTTGGAACTGTGGCTCTTAATTTTTATTAGGTGTCACCACTGGACCAAGTTTTGAGAGGTAAACTGATATATAAGGCAAGTTTATATGGTTTGGATTGCAACGGAGGTCCTGGACGATTTAGGCCTCGTCCTCTTGTTTATGGGGCAATGGGTATCGTTGCTAATTGCCTGTAATGCGTCGTCATTTTCACTCTGAACGAGGACGTTTTGGTTGCTCCTTTTACGTGGAGATTTAGGATGTCATGTACGCACCGAAATACATGAATCCTTAGCCGATCTTTTCAATAGGCTTGAAGATAAATAATACTATTAGAGTAATATTGCAAAATATATCCAAAAGGGACAAAGCCAAAGACGTGCTGGCTTCAAAAGAACAACCTTCCGGACGACTACTTAATTTACAGTCAAAAGAAGCCGCTGCTTAATTAGGATATGCCTCTTTCGTCGATTTGTTTTCGCTTTGTCATGTCAATAATGTTTTATAAAGAATATCTTCAGATTAATCCATTCTCACAAACGTCTTGAAGGGACTTGCGTCATTAATAATAGTCTAGCCTGAAAACATTGCAACTGTTATGGATCAGCCTGCAGACTGAATGAGAGGTATTTATAAACCGAAATAGAATAAAATATGGCAGATCTATCGTCGTGAGCAAGATGCCCATTGTGCACCTCACTAAGTGAACACTAATCCGGTGACTTGTGCGTTTATAGTGAGGCATACTTGCACGTCATCTACCACACTTACTCATCCCTATCCGACCTGCCTGCGCTGACAAAACAGTGCTAGGATGACTGGAGGCGGACCCGAGCTGGCTGAGAAAGCCAAACAGTCCGTCAACACTGGTCCAGAAACGACCTGGTTTCCCATATATATGTATATATATTCTCAATGGTCGAAAATATGCGAAGCCCAGGTAATTGAATAGAAGGCGGTAGAACGTTCTCTGAGACCAGTATTTCATTTGCCCGACGTTTCGGACTGTCAGTCGAGGTCACTGCGTAATAAAGTCAGCTCTGCCGGGAGTGACCTTGAGTTCCCATCGTTCGCTCCGCCGCGAGTGACGTTGAGCCCTGCCATTGCTCGCGCAACGCGAGATAAGCATATGGGAGATCGACATGCCTATTAACAGAGTCCGCGTGCGAGTGCCATGCTTCTTGCAGTAGACGTGAGACTCGGTCGTCCGACTTGCCTAGTATTTG